GCGCTTCCTGTGATGCCGTCAACGCTCCGCGAGCTTCATTGACGGCGTCGGCCCTCGCCTGTTTTGTTCGACTCGCAGGAGAGGTCGATGCCTCTCCCCTCTTTCGCTTTCCCCGTGAGCCAGGTTTGTCTCTCTCATCCTTTGTCTTGTCATAGGACTGCGACATTCCGCGGGAGGCTGCAGGCTGGCCACCAGCATCGACCGCGTCACCGACGCGGCAGGCGTCGTCCTCACGGCGCCCCCGCGATTCGTTGTAGTGGCGACGGTGAAATTGGGAGGAGCGATTGTCTTCGAGTTCCTCACCAACATCGTTTCTTTCCTCGTCCATGCCATCGTTCTCACCTTCAGCATCTCCTTCGTTACCGTCGTCCGCCTCACCACCGCCCTCCTCCTCCTCACCACCGCCCTCCCCCTCCTCACCACCGCCCTCCCCATCCCAACCACCGCCCTCCCCATCTTGGCCCTTGCATTCCTCGCCATCGAAAGCACCTACACCTCCCCAGGAACGATGCTGGGGACCATCCCAATAGCGCACAACCCCGTTGTCGTAGTCTATGGCCTAGCTGGACTGCCCGGCCGCATCGCGACCTTGCCGATCCGAGGGCGGAACCGGAGCGGGCAGAGCCTGGACAACCGCCGCCGACGAAGACGGGGCAGTCGGCAATCGCTTCCTCTTTCCACCCGCTCTGGCCGGCTGATCCTGGCGCGGTTTGGGCCCCACAGCCGATGAAGACGGGACGTCAATCGGCACGAAAACACGGTCAACTTGCTGGGCACCAGACAGCCTTGCGAACTCTTCCCTGTATCGCATAACGGAAGCTGCGAGTTGGTCCGTCGGGCTGTTGAATTGGACCAAAGGTCTGCTGAGCATGAAAGCGCTGTCGACGACAGGCAGGGAACCAGTCACGCGGTAGCCATTGGTTTTGGAAAGAAACTTTTCCGGATCCAGCATTTGGAACTCCGTTCCGTTCCCACGCACGTCAAACGCTTTCATCGACAAAGCCTTGACCCCATATCCTTCGAAGAGCCGATGGTCGAGAGACACCTTCTTGTCTTCCTTGACCCTGTTTTTCCCCTCTCTGTCATAGACAAATGTAAGGAAGAAGGTCCTGAACTTCCTGCCGTCGTAGGTAAGCCTCCCCGCTTCCGATTTCTCCAACCCTCCGCAGCAGTACCAACTCAGGCCATTGTCATCGCTCAAAAAGACAACGGCTCCGCAACCCGGCATATGAAGGCCACCTACCCAATCAAGAGCCCATGGTTTGTCGTGGTAGAGCTTAGACCTGCCGTACCGTTTTTTGGGGGCGGAGCTAGACGCTGTTTCTCCTGAAGGGTCGCACAGAAAAAGACAACAAGAAAACAACACTAAGTGACATGAAGAAGCATCCGTCGCGGCACGGGAGTTTCGCTACCGCCCCACGCAGCGGGTCCGGCGTTCCTAGAACGCCGGACCCCACGACCGTTGTGTGTGCAGGTCCGGCGTCCCCAAAATAGCAGACCCCACCAGCGTGCCTGTCGGCACGGTGGTCGGCCGGACCCCTCCCTCGCCCGCATCGT